TTCTCTAATGGAATACAACAATTGTTGTGGACCGGCACAACATATACGCGACTTCTTTGAATTTTCTCCTCTTTGTGGATGATTTCAGCTTGTGCCCACTTGATGTTATGTTGATGAGCCCAAATATGCTCTGCTATTTCTATTTCTGATTTGCTGGTTTCTCCTCGCTGTGTGTTTTTCTTGTGATCGGCAATGTGAACTTTCAATGGCCTCTTAGTTTCACCGATGTATGGTTCTCCGCACTCGCAGGGTATCCGGTAAATGTAATTCTTGGAATCGCAGTCCGCGTTGGGTGGCCTGGTTTTCGTGAGACTGCTTCGGATAGTAGTAGTAGTTCCCTGATCTGAAGCAAGTTTTGATGTTATACTTGGACCTAATCCTTCTTATCCTTTCCGATAATCCTCTGATGTAGGGAAGTACAAGTACTGGTTGTGGCGGCTTCTCTTCCTTATGGAGCTATTGCTGTCTTCTAGCTAAAGCCTGTTCTACCATCACTCTGCAGTAACCATTCCATTGAAGGTCATTTTTGATGATGTCTAGTTCCTTTTCGAGAACTTCCTTTGATGATTCCTCTCTTAGTCGATTGATGGTGGTTGGATTTCTGGTTCAGATACTTTCCATCCACCATCATCGACTGAGAGAGGAATCATCAAGACTCTAGTAGACCGTGCTTTTAGGCATCATCAAAAATGAACTTTTAAGGAATGGTTACTCCAGAGTGATGGTAGAACAGGCTTTAGCTAGAAGACAGCAAGAGTCCCACAAGGAAGAGAAGCCGCCACAACCAGTACTTGTACTTCCCTACATAAGAGGATTATCTGAAAGGATTAGAACGATTGGGTCAAAGTATAACATCAGGACCTGCTTCAGATCTGGGAACACTATCCGCAGCAGCCTCACAAAAACCAGTCCATCAAACGCGGACTGCGATTCCAAGAATTGCATTTACCGGATACCCTGCTAGTGCGGAGAATCATATATCGGTGAAACTAAGAGGTCATTAAAAGTTCGCATTGCTGAGCATAAAAAACACACACAGAGAGGAGAAACCAGCAAATCCGGAATAGCAGAGCATGTTTGGACTCATCAACATAACATCAAGTGGGCTCCAGCTGAAATCATCCACAAAGAGGAGAAAATTGGGAGAAAATTCAAAGAAGCCGCGTATATGTTGTTCTGCATCTTTCTCTTTGCACCATGTCTGAAATCCCGCGTGATCTGTCAAATACTAATGCATGAAAATCCTAACCTCAAAAAAATCACCCGTTATTATATTAGACAATGGAAGTCCGAACTGATGAAATACGCCACGAAACATCGTCAACCACCTTCAAACAAATGTATGAAGGCTATTTTCCGTGTTTTCTGGCCGTGGTCTGCAGGTTTTTATGCCTGACGTTTCGTCTACTGCTGCGGTAGACACGTGGTAACGATCGCAATACCCAAGCTGGTGCTCTGTTTCTTGTTCCTGTTGTTCCATTAACTACTATTTCCGTACTGGGCGCTCTAATTACATCGTTTTTAATTGTATTACTGTTCGTGTTCGTGTACCTCTTAGGACAGATAGCCAGCTTTTAGTAATATTCATATTCTCTTGTGTTATTAAAGATATTCAATATTTGAAAAAAATCGTTGAACAACAAAACATTTCCTGATGGAAGTCCCAACACAAGTTCTTATAAATTGATTCGAGCGGTATAAATCGAGTGGTTCAGGTCACCACGCAACACCCGATTCGGGTGCTCCAACAAAAAAAATCAACTCATTGAATATAGGTATCGGAAAATTAAAAAAAAAAACGTATCTTCTGGATAATTGGATGAACAATAATCACCAGATGAAATAGAAAATTTTAGTTTTCAATTTTTTGTACGGGCATTCAAACATTAAAAACAATAAAAACTATTGATTTTTCAAAATTCTGCTACAGAGGCAGACGAACATAACATCTGGTGGTCCGAAGTTGAAATCGTCCCAAGAAATAAAAATGGTTCAAGAGGAAGTTTGAAGGAACTATAAAATGTCAAATAACAAAGCATTTAGCAAAGCTGAACATATAGAAACCTCTATTCAAGAGATAAAATAGGCTACACTGCACTGAACTGGAAAATCAAGATGAAAGGGAGTAGAGGAGAAAGAACTGAAGTGAGCTGTAAAGATAGTCTCGAAGTCTTAGGAAAGTAAACACCAGATACCCAAAGATGATTGTGGTTACTGCCAATCGAAACGGAAACGTGGTTAATTACCTTGGTTTGAAATATTTTCTTCTCTCTTTTTTGTTACCATCGACACTTCATTGTTTATATGTCACTGACACTTTACGTATTGTTCAACCCATTCATTAATTGATTTCCATTTCAGATTACAATTTTTAAATTTCATACTCATTTATTTCGCCTCAATTCATATCATTTCATTTTTCAATAGTAACTCTCCCTAATATTTCGATTCTGGTAATTTTTCATAGAATACAAAATATATTAAACAAAAAACATTTTCGACCACAATATAAGAACATAGGCTATTACGGCTGCGGACACGATTAGAGAGAACAAAGTCCGTGGGAATTGAACTTGTAGTACCAAACGTTTCGTCTGCCACTGCGATAGACATCATCAGATGCGTATGTGTTAATAGCAAGGACGAAAATGATATCTCGAAGTTTCAGCAACGACTGACTAAGCTAGCAGTTTCATTGGACCTCGGCCTACCACCTCGGACTTTGTTCTCTCTATTGTCAACTACATTAAAACAGTTATCTTTACATACTTCATCTTTTATTTAGGTACTTACCTCTAATTTCTTCTCGATATCGGGACATTTATCTTTTGACATGTCAATTAACTTCATTAAGTCCTCAAAGGATACGATCGCCATTTCTATGATTTCATCTTCTCCCAAAATCTTATCATTCCAGGCAGTGGCATATACTGAATTATAGCAATTGATAAATCATTATGAGTAGATTTTGTTAATGACAGTTAATCTTTATAAAATACAATGTTTCAAATCAAACTATTTTATTTAAAAATAAAATGAAAAAAATCATTATCATTATACTCACAAGAAGCAAAAAGAAAAACAGCTAAAAATAAAAACTTATGCATTTTGTTTCGACACAATAACAAAAAATTGTTGTTATGAAAATGCTTTCCAAGTCTTTATATATCTGCGGGTTGAACGAAAATTGTTTACAGAACTGCAGTCATCAGGTCAATACAAGATAGCCGAAGTTTTATTAGCACAGATAACATAAATGTTACCAAAATCCTTTCATTTTCGGAATGAAAATATATGTATATGTTTCAGTTTTCTTCACCCACAATCTAGATTTAAAAATGTAGATGAAAAAAATTGTTCTACAAATAATTTCAATCAGATCTACTAATACACGGTTCGAGTATAATAGGAATATTTGAAACATCATTTTAGTGACTACATTCAATACATTCACTTATGGAACTATATTCGTATTAATGGCCTAGGGCCTAGGGTCTAGGACTACTGAAAACTAGAGAATCCCATCTGCTGATAAAATTGCAGTTAGACTGAATTTGTTTATTACAAATCAGATATCATTCAGAAAGGAAATAGGTCTAAAAAAAGTTGATGAAGAATGAATGTGCATCACATTCAATGCTCTATTGAGATTCTAACAATTTCTCTTCAGTTTATATCCGGGGAAGTCAATAATGATTTCATCACAGAAACAACATCGTCTAGAGTTTTTCTCTTTTAAGACGAGCTGATGAGAAAATCTGACGTGACCACCTTTTAGGCGGGTGAGAATGACTTGGTGTTTCCGCGAAACTTCCTTGTAATTTTGGATATTCGTATGTGGCTTAATATCTCTCGATTCTTGCGTCAAGAGACTGCCACCTTACTTCAAAGTTATGGATCTTAAGCTGTTTTATGCTATTGTGAAAGTCTTCTTGGGGAATTAGTGAAAATTGTTGAGCCAGAGGATTTGAGCAATTTCTACGAGCTAGAGTGTCACCCATTTCATTACCCACGATTCCCGTGTCGAAAGGAACCTGGAAACTTTCTATATGTTTATCAACTTGCTTAACATTTTCCAATCCAACTTGTATATGAATTAAAAGTGAATTTTTCAGGATAGAGTTGTTGGAGGCCATAAATTGCTTTTTCAGAGTCATTCAAGATGACATAATTTCCCTCTAATAGGTTGCAATATTCAGTTGCTTTGTACATCGCGTATAGTTCTCCTGTATGAATCTCATTTTCGGGATATTTCAAAATATAGTTGTTACATAGTGGTACGTCGTTTAATATCAAAAAATATGCTCCTAACCATTTGTTCATTGGCAAATGCCTCAAGGATGCTAGACTGAAGGTTCAGTGAGTTGTCAGTAGGGGATCGATGTTGTCGAAAACCGCTTTGAAGCAGGGTGATGAGGCGATTTTCTTCCAAGAAAAATTGTAACCCGGCATTGAGGATTTTTTCGAGTATCTTACAAATGGTGCACATCAGGGAAATAGGTCTCCAGGACTGAGGGTTAGATAGTGGTTTGTTGGGTTTCTGCAATGAAATTACTGTAACATTCGACTGGATGACTAGAAACTTTCGTGAAATAAACATTTCATTACATATTTCAAGAAAATATTGTTTTCCAGTAGGGAAGATTTTTGAGAGACATATGTAAGGAATATTGTCTAGTCCCGGAGCAGCGTTGCGTACTTTTCGTGGGGTGTTTTCTAATTTATTCATGGTTATGCTAACGTTCACAGGATTATCAATCGTCTTCTATTTGCCATGTGTGGGCTTCGGCAGTTTCCTTCGTTCGCAAGAAAATATGCTCATGATTTCCATTAATGGATTGTTTTTTTTGAATTGTCAACTAATATATTTGCAATGTCATGGCTGTTTGAAGTAGCGTGCCATCATGTGATAAGGAAGACACACCGAGATTACTCCTCGATATTGCCATATATTTCAGACATTGGAGTAGACTCCAGTTCAGTAAAATATCTTGGAATACACATTGACCATAAACTTAATTGTAAAATACATATAGACTACCTTTGTAGTCTTAATAACTTAAACACTTAAAAATATACTAAGTATCGATGATTTGCGCAATATATATTTTTCGTTAGTTCAGTCTCTCTCAATTTATGGAAATCTAGGATGGGGTGGGGTCTACAGTGCAACTGTACAACCGCTTATGGTACTACAGAAACAATTTCTCAAAATTATCTATAATTTAAATTATCGTTTCCATCAGCACAAATATTCCAATATTGTGATCTGATGAGTTTGAGATATCTTCATTTTAAACAATTATTATTATTTATATTTCACAACAGAAAATGAGTTAAAAAATCATCAACATGGATATGAAACTGACTCAAAGCGAGTAACTTAGATATACCGAAAATGAACAAAGCTATTGGACAAAGATCAATTACAATCATTGGACCCAAATTATTCAATCTTGCTCCAGATCGTATAAAAACGGAATATGTTGTAATGAAGTTGCACTGAATTTAGTTTTGGAAAAACGACAACATAAACTTATTTATTCAATAACATACAGAAAGAAATGTGAAATGTTCATTTTAGTGTCTGTTCAGTTTGAATGCTAGTAAGCTTCTGCCCTAAACGTCTGCCTGTTCTTCTCGCCGACCTCAGGGTTGTGTCTGGCATCCGGGAAGGGAGTGACTATACAGGGTGAACGCCTGAACA